CGCTACATCCACGATGCAGCTGCGACGTCGGCGGTGCATCGCCGACGTCGGCGTGCAGAAACTCGAGCTCCGCATCGAGCCGCTTCTCCGATGCATCGGCGATGCGGCGCGATCCTCCGACACCATCTACTCGGAACACGTCCAGGAGGCCTAGAAGGACGGCCCAAGAAACCTCCAAGACGGTTCGCGGGCGGCCACGGCGGCCCCGAGATGCCCCAAGGTGGCCCCGAGACTGTCCATAAGGCTCTCTGAGGGGTGTGTTGGGCAATATTTGGGGTCCTTGGGGCAGGCCCACGAGGCTCAAATCAAATGATTGAAAAGCCTTTCATGCTTTCATGTGTGTCTGCTGTTCGTCACTTCGGAGGAGGAGGAGGAGTTCAGCATTGCGAGCGTCCAACACGGCGCGAGAGGCGACCAGCTCAGGACTGCCCAAAAAGTGGCCCCAGGAGGACCCAGAGACGGCCCCAATACGGTCCCAAGAGAGCCTCAAGACCGCCCGAAAGGGCCCCCAAAGGGTCCCAAGATGCCAACAGGGCGCAACGATGGCGTATCTATAAGAGGATCCCAGGAGGTCTCCCCAGAATGTCCAGAATGGCCCCTCCGGGAGCTGGTTTAGAGCACGTGTCTAGAAATTTCTTGTCACCAATGCCTTGCATCGAAGGCATTCCTGCGAATCCCTGACCATGTGCCCCTCCCAGTCGTTGCGGCAGCAGGTGGAAAAAGTCGCTGCAGGATGCTAACGCTCTGCTTCTCGCGTCTGACTATCCTGTGGTATGCCAAGCCCTGTCAGGCCAGCGCCTACAACGATGGCCCACACCCCAGTGGAGGCCCGTCCACAAGACACCCTCCACAAGAAACCCAACCCTGAGACCCCAGGACGTCCCTCGATTTTTGGTGAGGGAACGTCCCGCCTTCCACGGCAAAACCATCGGAACCCAAGAAGCCCAGGGGCACCCTGGAGGCCAGGCAGGGTGCTTCTTGGCAGGGGCCCCCACCGCAGAAAGCCTCGGGCCACGCCCCGCGTGCCCGACGGGCGCGCGCCCCGTCCCTGGGCCGCCCTCGGTGCCGAAGCGGTCGCCGACGTGGAGCGGAGGCGGGAGAGGGGCGCGCGCAGCGCGCGCGCGCGCGGCCGGAGCAGGAGGGGGAGGGGGAGGAGGAGGGGGAGGAGGAGGAGGAGGAGGAGGAGGAGGAGGAGGAGGAGGAGGAGGAGGAGGAGAGAGGGAGGAGGAGGAGGAGGAGGAGGAGGAGGACGAGGACGAGGAGGAGGAGGAGCAGGAGGAGGAGGCGGCGGTGGCTCGCCGCAGGCGCATCCGATGCAAGAGAAGGGAGAAGGTGCAGCTGGGGGGAGGGGCAGAAGCCGCGCGGGGTGGGCTGGAGGGGGGCCGCGGAGGGGCAGCGGAGGGGCCGCGCGGGGCCCTCGGGCGAGAGACCGCCCGAAGGCTGGCCGCGGCTCCCCGAAGGCTGCCGAGGACGTGCAGCTCACCGCTGCCTAAAAACAACGACGACAAGGATAAGAACGATAACAACGATAACGATAACGAAAATATGGAGAAAAAAAACAACGATATCGTTATCGCAATCGTGTTTATCATTGTGATCGTGGTTATCGTTGTTGTCGTTGTGATCGTGACCGTTGTGGTGGTGCGGCCCGCCCCCGTCAACAAGAAAAACGCTGCTGCCAGTGGTGTCCCTATTTCGTCTGCCGGTGGCTCACAGCCGCAGCCCGCACGCCGGCGCCCGTCTTCGGGATGCGCTTCGGGGTGTTCCCCCAGCCTGCTCGTCGCTTGCCACCCCCAAGTCGCCCTGAAGACTGAAGCATTGCAGCGACTGCGCAGCGACAAAAAAATGCGCCATTATCTCCCACGTTTGAGCGCTGTGGCTCTTGGCAGCTCCTCTCTGCCTTCTGTTTTTCCCCTTCACAGAACGGACCTGCGCGCAACTGGCTCCACGACGCGAGACGACCGCCAGACAAACCGGGAACGTCACACGAGACGCCGCCAAGACCGCAGACACCCCAGGAGCTCCTCTCTGCCGTCTGCGCAGGTCCCACGCAAAGGCGCGAGGCGAAGCGCCAGCTCCCTCCATGTCGCAAGAAGGGCCTCCCACAGCCCGAGCAGCGACACCCCTGCGCGGAGGCCTGCGCTGCGGCCTGACGAGAGAGGCCGGCCGACAGCGTGGCCCCCGCTCGTCTCGCGGCGATGCGATACGCTGCACCCCCCACCGAGCATGCCTCGCCGATCCCACTCTGCACGGACGAGGCGACCTCGCTGGACATGACGGAGTCGAACGTGGAGGCGGCGGCGGACGAGATGGAGCTGAAGAGGCCACTCTCGACCTGTCGGGGGCTGGGGATCGGGGGCGGCCAAGAGGGGGACCTCCAGGAGGGGAGGGCGCAAATCATGACACTGGCACGTGCGCGGCCCAGGGGAGGAGCCGGGGGGCCAGGCACGCAAGGAACAAGAGGTGGCGCCATGAAATCTGAGGAGATCTCATGGCCCACGCCATGAGAGCCCCCCCTCCCTGGTCATCACCCCCATCCGTGGCCGCTCCCGAGAGGACGCCGGGGCCGCCCCAAGTCCGCCGCAAGCCGCTCGAGAAGGCGACCGGATGGGCCAGGACGGGTCCAGATCTCCGACGCTGCGGCTTTTTGATCACAGCGCGGCTCCGTGGATGTCTGGAGCCCTACCGGCCACACGCAAAAGGTGTCACGAAGACATTCCTGGGGGCCTCGGGGGGAAAACTTGGCGCCCGAGTTACGTCGGATCCACGTCGGACTACGTCGGGTGCACGCCTGATTTACGTCGGAAATACGTCGGATTTACGTCGGACTGACGCCGGAGCATCGCCGCGCGAGCGTCGACCCATAGCGTACGGAGCTGACGTGTGGACTAGAGAATACAAGTATTACGCGCCGCGCGAGGCCTCCTGAATTTTCCTCATAAAGAGTGGCCCTGGGTAATAGTGACCTTTGCTGTGCGGCTTTTTGGGGGGGCGCGAGGGGGCCAACCCCAAGCGCGCAGGACACTACCATCGCATTGCGTTCGGCGATCGGGGGTCCCCTGTGAGCCCGCACCAAAGGTCACTCTGGCGAAAGGTCACTCTTACGGGGGCGGCCAAGAGGGGGGCGTCCAAGAGGAGGGGGCGCAAATCATGGCCGGCGGCATGTGCGCGGCCAAGGGGGGGCGGGGAAGTAATGAAATAAGAAGAGGCACCGTGACTAGGGGGGGGTATATCATGGCCACCGCCATGATGTCCACCCCCCTGGTCATCACCCCCCTCTTTGCCGCCCCCGACTATTACGTGTAGCCGACCCTACCCGGAAACCTGCTTTCCATCCCAGCTCGTTTTTGACGGCCCCAGGGCCCAGGAAGGAAACAAGGAGGCCGAGAATGGCCATAAACCCTCCGTCGTGATTTTGTCGCGGTGCGAGGGTGTCAGGGGAGGGAGTGTGGGCTTAGTTGATGTAAAAAACGCTGGAGACATTTTCTTCCCGTTTTCAACTAATCGTGTTTCGGCAAACCAACACGGAAAAAGTGTCTCCAAAAAGATGTACAAAAACAGTGCACAAAACGGAGCCGAACCAAAAACAGCATGAACGGTAATCCCAAAACAAAAATTATCCCAGTGCGACCCTACCTAGGAGTTGGAGCCCCTAGAAAAGCAGCATAAGCTAAGCTAAGCTAAGATAGCTAAGCGAAGCTAAGCTAAGCTAAGCTGAAATGAGATAAGCTAAGATAAGCTAAGCTAAGCTAAGCTAAGGTAAGATAAGCTAAGCTAAGCTAAGCTAATATGCTATGAGCTAAGCTATAAGAGCTAAGTTACGTTAAGCTAAGCTAAGTTAAGCTAAGATGAGATGAGATAAGCTAAGCTAAGCTAAGCTAAGCTAAGCTAAACTAAGCTAAGCTAGGCTAGGCTAGGCTAGGCTAAGCTAAGCGAAGCTAAGCTAAGTTAAGCTAAGATGAGATAAGCAAACCTAATATAAGCTAAGCTAAGCTAAGCTAACTAAGCTAAGCTAAGCTTAGCTAAGCTAAGCGAAGCGAAGCTAAGCTCACCCGGGGGGCGCGGGGGGATCCTGGGGGAACCGCGGGGCGGATGCCGGGGGAACCGCCCGGGGCGCATTCCACTGCCCGGCCCTTTAAGCTTCCGAGTAAGAACCCTTCTAGGCAGAGACTAGGTAGGGAAAAGACAGAAAACCCAACCATATGCAATTGGGTGTACCGCGTTGTGGGTACCGCTTTCGGTGGAGCTCCCTGTGGGGCCACGAAGCGTGTGAGGGGCGTGCCGACTTGGGCGCGGTGGTGCCATGAGGGCGCTGCCACCAGGACCTTCGGTGGAACCCCTTATGGGGCCACGAAACGTGAGAGGGGTGTGCCGAAACGGGTGCGGTGGTGCCCTGCGGACACTGCCACTGGGGCCTTCGGTGGAGCCCCCTATGGGGCCACGAAGCGTGTGAAGGGTATGACGGAACGGGTGCAGTGGTGCCATACGGGCGCTGCCACTTAGGGCCTTCGGTGGAGCCCCCTTGTGGGGCCACGAAACGTGTGAGAGGCGTGCCAGAACGGCCGCGGTGGTGCCATGCGGACGCTGCCGATGGGGCCTTCGGTGGAGCTGCCTATGGGGCCACGAAGCGTGTGAGGGGTGTGCCGAAACAGGCTCGGCGGTGCCATGCGGACGCTGCCGCTGAGGCCTTCGGTGGAGCTTCCTCTGGGGCAATGAAGCGTGTGAGGGGTGTGCCGACATGGGAAAGAGCGTGTTCTACCGCTGCTGGCGGAAAACCGGGGGGGGTCACTACCGGTTCGAACCCCCCCCCCCCCCCCCCCCCCCCCCCCCTCCGGAAAACCGGGGGGGGTCACTACCGGTTCGAACCCCTCCCCCCCCCCCCCCCCCTGCTCACCATGAAAGGGGGGGGGGCGGTTCGAAACCCCCCCCCCCCCCCTCCGGATCCGGAAAACCGGGGGGGGTCACTACCGGTTCGAACCCCCCCCCCCCCTCGAAAACCGAGTGGGGGTGCGGACAGTGGTGGGGACGGTGTTGGTGGGGACAGTGGTGAGGGGATAGCGGGACAGTGGTGGGGACAGTGGGACAGTGGGACAGTGGTGGGGACGGTAGTGGTGGGGACAGTGGTGGGGACAATGGTGGGAACAGGGGGGGACAGTGGACAGTGGTGGTGACGGTGGTGGTGGGGACAGTGGTGTGGGGACAATGGGAATGAGGTGGAAACAGTGGGACAGTGGAGGGTACAATGGTGGTGGGGACAGTGGTGAAGGCGGTGGCGAGGACGGCGGTGGGACAATGGGACAGAGGTACAGTGGGGACAGTGGTGGGGACAGTGGGGACAGTGGTGGGAACAGTGGGACAGCTCAGTGGGACAGCGGAGGAGTCAGTGGGACAGTGGGGACAGTGGGGATAGTCGGGCAGTGGTTGGGGCCGTGGAGACAGTGGGGAGAGTGGAACCGTGGTGGGAACAGTTCTGGGGACAGCGGGGACAGTGCGACAGTGGTGGGGCCACTGGTGGGGACAGTAGGGGCGGTGGTGGAACCAGTGGGGACAGCGGTGGTGAGGACAGTGGTGCTGGGAACACCAGTGGGGGATGTGATGCGGACGGTGGTGGGGACCGGGAGTCGTTTGCTGGCGGTGAGTAGGGGGGGGGGGGGGGGGGGGGGGTTCGAACCGGTAGTGACCCCCCCCGGTTTTCGGATCCGGAGGGGGGGGGGGGGGGGGAGGTGGTTCGAACCGGTAGTGACCCCCCCCCGGTTTCGTGAGCTGAGGGGGGGGGGGGGGGGGAGCGGGTTAGGGGATGGGGGGGTGGTTTTGCCGGGGGAGAGGGGGGGGGGGGGGGGGAGGGTTTCCAGCAGGGGGGGGGGGGATTTTCGGAGGGGGGGGGGGGAGACCCCCAGGTTCCGGAGGAAAAGGTTGGCAATTTTCCACAGTAAAGCGGCGGTGGATCACGCTCTCTC